CGCGCGCGCAGAGGATGACTCGCGCGTCGCACTGGCGAGTGCCTTGGGCTGTAATTTCTCCCGTTCGGGTCAGCGCGCGGCGCCAGACATACCCCTTGCGCGACTTGGGAGCGTCCGAGCGCGCGGGGAAATATTCGCATGGCGCGGTCTGGAAACGGGCGGGTTTCAGCGCGCAGTTTTCGTCGGTTTCTTTGCTCGAGTTGTCAGCGCGGCGGTTGCATCGGAATGATATTTCGGCGCCGTGGTCGGGACCCCTGGACAGAATGGCCCTTCGCTGCGCGATTAGACGCGCGCGCACGGGATGATGGCTCTGCGGATGCGACGCGTACGCGCCAGGTTTCTTCGGGCGCTGGAGAATCATCCGTTTCCGTTTTGGTGTGTCATGTTTTCTTAGAGTTCCACGCGTTATCTGTGGCGGCTGCGTTTCCGCGTCGCATCTCACGCGGTCTCTTGGGGCCAACTTCGGCGTCCTCGGGGTCGCGAGTTTCTCGGGGGTCTCTCGGGGTCCCCTTGGGATGCATCGGGCGCCCTGTGCTTCCCTGGGATTCCTGGCGCCCCCTTGGGCTCCATTGGGCCTCCTTGGGGCTTCTGGGGGCCTCCTGCGGTTCCCTGGGTTCCGCGCGCCTCCTGGGGCTCCTTGAGATTCCCCGGGGTTTCGTTGGTGAAGCAGCCGCAAGCAGACAGGGTGGGCCAGGGGCCCGGGGAGGAAAGCCATTGGCGACGAAGCCACAGACCCTACGGCGGCGACGCCGACCAGGCAGCGCGGGCTCAGCGGTGTAGTTGGCGGTGGGGGGGGGATAATTCTGATAGTCGGGACGGGTCAACGGTATCTTCGCGAGGGGGTCCCAGCTGGGGATCACCCGCCGCCCCGCCAGAACATAAAAAAAGGCCCAAAAACATTCCTCGAACACGTGTCCGAAAACAGAGAATGACCTGTCTTGTTTTGGGGAGGAAGCGGTTTGCTTGCATCCTTCATGGATGGGCGCGCGGCCTCGGGGACATAGCCACGTCGCAACGCGCGAGGCATGATGCGCAAGATGTCGTGGCATCGGGGGCGCGATCGCGCCTTGCGGCATGAGTGGCGGCGGTTCGGGGGGGCGCGAACCCGCTGCGATTCAAAACGCGCTGCGGCAACACGGGCGCGAATTTGGTGCGTTTTCATGCCACGTGTCCCCAGGCTACGCGAATCTGCGAGAGTTTATTGTTTTTTTTCGGGTTCCCCCATCTCACAGATTTCAACCATTTTGGGTTCCCCCATCAGGCGGATTTCAACCATTATAACGCTTGAGCCATAGGAGACAAATCCTTGACGCTTCTCGGATCCCCGCCAGCCCATCCAAAACCGACGCATAGGCGGGTTCAGACGATCAGGGAATTATAGGAACAAAAAGGGGGCAACCATTATCGTTCGAGGCAGGAGCAGGAGCAGGAGGAGGAGGAGGGGGAGGAGGAGTCGCAGGATGCGCAGGAGGTGCAGGAGGAGGAGGCGAGGATGACTCTTGGCAGGCTTTTAGAGGCCTCTTCGGGCGTGTGGGACATCTTGGCTGGCCCAAGGCAGTCTTTGAACGTCTTGGGTGCCTCGGGGATCCTCTTGAAGCCTCCTGGGGGTGTTTTTTGGAGCCCCTTGGAGCTGGGTGGATGGCTGTACGTGGTCATACAATTCACAAAACAGCCCCCTCCGACAGTCCCAAGGGGTGTCATCGACACCAACCTCCACAGTTCGAACGGTGGAGCGCCGACACCCCTCCGACACACCAAAGGGGGGTCCAACGAGTGGCTCCCGACACTGCCGCGACACTTCCGAAGGGGGGTCCCCGACACCTCCTCCAAAGATTGTGGGGGGGGGTCAACCCCTTGATTTTCAACTCCCCCGGGTGGATCACGAAAACGCGTGATATTCAGCACCAGCAATCGGTCGTTTTGGATTTGCCCGGGGAAGCTTCAGATCAATGAAAAAACAGGTTTGGCGAGTCGTCGTCATAGTATTCGCTTCACTGTGGGGCTGTCGGGGAGCTGTCGGTGGGACCGTCGGGGAGCTGTCGGTGGGGCTGTCGAGGAGGCTGTCGCGGGGCTTTCGGGGGACTGTCGGGGAAGCTGTCGGGGAGCTGCCGGGAATCTATCGGAGGGAGTGTCGGGGGGCTGTCGGGGAGGGGTCGGAGGTGTGTCGGGGGCGTGTCGGGCGAGGATGGGGCCGAAGACAGCCTCCTCCTCCTCCTCCTCCTCCTCCCCTCCATCCTCCTCCTCCTCCTCCTCCTCTCCTCCTCTGTCCTACACCCCCCCCCGCTCGCCGCCTCCACCACCGCCCCCCTTCCTCCTTCCTCCATTCTCCTTCCTCCTTCACCTCCTCCTCCGCCTCCCTCCTCCTCCTCCTCCTCCTCCTCCTCCTCCCCCTTCCTCGCCCCCCTCCTCCTTCTTCTCCTTCCTCCTCCATCCTCCTTCCTCCTCCTCCTCCTCCTCCCCTCCCCCCTCCCTCCTCCCTCCCTCCCCCCTCCCTCCCTCCCCCTCCCTCCCTCCTCCTCCTCCTCCTCCTCCTCCCTCCTCCTGCCTCCTCCTCCTCCCTTCCTCATCCTCCCCTTCTCCTCCGCCTCCTCCTCCTCCCTCCTCCTCCTCCTCCTCCTCCTCCTCCTCCTCCTCCTCCTCCTCCTCCTCCTCCTCCTCCTCGCCTCCTCCTCTCCTCCTCCTCCTCCTCCTCCTCCTCCTCCTCTTCCTCCTCCTCCTCTTCCTCCTCCTCCTCCTCCTCCTCCTCCTCCTCCTCCTCCTACCTCGGTCCCTCCCTCTCCCTCCTTTCGCCCCTTGGCCCCCGTGAGTAGGATAGGAGGAGAGAGGAGGAGGGGGAGGAGGAGATGAGGCGAGGATGAGGAAGGGGGAGGTGGAGGAGGAGGAGGAGGAGGGGAGGCGGAGGAGGAGGAGGAGAGGAGGGGAGGAGGAGGGAGGAGGAAGAGGAGAGAAAGGAGGATTAGAAGGCGGCGGAGGAAAAAAGGGAGGAAAAGGAGGAGGAGGAGGAATCCGCCAACCTCCTCATCTTTCCCCCTTCCGGCCTCCGCCCAGACGGCGGAGGAGGACGATGATGACGCGGAGGAGGAAGAGGAGGAGAGGGAGGAGTTCCAGGAGGAGGATGGGGAGGCGGGCGGGGGGCGGATGGCCAACCCCATTCCTTCTCCGTCACGCCACTGTCGTGTGTTCGGTGTGTCGTCGGGACGTGCCGATGGTGCTGCTGTCAGGGGGGGGGGGGCGGTCGGGGGCCTGGCGGGGCTCCGTCGGGAGATGCGTCGGCGTGGTGTCGGTAGGATTAAGATAGGGCGCGTTGGGGAGGGGTGGCGGGGGCGTTGGTGGATT